CTACTACATAGTACAGAGTTATCAGTAAATAAATACAAGGGTATATGGTGCTACCTGAATGCGGCGAAGGGATTGATACCTAAGTTTTGGCATAGACTAGAGGTACCGAAGATAGAGGACTGGGTGGAAAGAACGAATCAAATTTGTAAGATGGAGAGATTGCGTTATATGCAGGAAGACAGGGTGGGGTTGTTCTCTAAGAGGTGGAGAAAATGGGAAGAATTTATGGTGAAATATATGAAGTAGCTATGTGAGAAAGATGAAAGGATTTACATACCCTATATTCTCGTTTGGAAAAGAGGTAATAGAACAATGCAGAGTGGGTGGGTTTACATGGGGGGAGGGAGGTTTTATTTAGGGAGGGGGGAAATTAGATAGAGGGGGGAGGTAAATGGGAATAAAGATAGTCAGAAATGTTATTAATGATATGGAAATGGTTTTTTTTGTATGAGAATAATGATGAAATATGTATTATATATGGAAAATAAATAAAAATTTAAATAAAAAAAAAAAAAGTGGAGGTCAGGAACAAGCTGGTTTGGTATCAGGAGTCAATCACAGGAATCAGGGAACACAAGCAGGGATAAGATCAAACAGCACTGAGACATTTACTGCAGCCAGTTCAAATAGCCCCTTTGGCGCCAGCATTAATGACAGGCACGCGCCTGGATGTGCGAGTGCGCATGCGCGCGCGCACGTGGGCACGCCCATGCCCAAGTACCCACACATCTGCCCGGTTCGCTATAACTCTGCACAGATCTTAACCTGCACTATGGACAGGCCTTTCCTGACAGCAGGAGAGGGCAGAGTCTGAGCTGGCCCTTAATACAGTCTCAGCCAATCCCTGGTCGGGAAAAAAATGACCAGCAGGGTGCTGACAGCGGGATATAAGGGTGAGAGCAGAAAATAGCAGGGTCGTTCACCTGATACCCAGCGTGGAAGTACTGTTAAACCTTCCAAGGTTTAGGAGAGGCCTTAAAGTTTTACTAAACCCACAACAGTAAAATCAGTCTGTATATGCAGTAAAGCATACTTGTTATACTCACTGTGGAACCCAAGGGGTTAATCCTCTGCATTGTGTAAAAAGGCATTTGATCGTTTCTTCTCTGCACCTCCTCTTGTTCAAATGTCCACGTCTTATTTCCTGATAAGACAGAATGAACCAGAAACCCTTCTGCACATGCTCAGTTTAGTATGTATTGCTAGAGAGGTTTTTTTTTCTTGGGAGAGTGCATGTGATCAGCACAGGGCAAATCAGCACTGTCCAGACAGAGGGCCAGGGGTTTTGCATCCTCCTAGAGCAGAAAGAAAACTCTTCCTACAAGCTTTAACCAGTGCTCAGCTGAAGTCACAAGACTGCTCTAACTGCTGCTGAGAAAAGGTATTTAGCAGTTTATATTTACTAAAATAATTGCACTTCCATGTAGTGTGTACTGTGGGAGACCAGATATAGTGAATGCAGGGGCGGGGTTTAGTAACACTTTAAGAGGGAATGGATGATTCTCACTTACTAAGGAGCCATGGGATCACTCCCAAAGTCATTGGAACACCCAAGGCAACACCCAAAGGAGATCTTCCTGGGAAACTTCAAACCAGAGTTAAACTTAAGTTTTGCCTGGATCACAGTGAGTAGGCCTTAGAGAATTCTTCGGCGAAAGACTGTTGCCCAAACCTCCTTTCTTACTAGGGGGGCTATTCTAGACCTTAAAGCTAGTGCTTAAAGCTGCATGCTACCTTTTGTACAGAGAAGTCTGTGCTGCTTCTCTTAATTACTTCAAGATAGTGTCCTCATTCAAATTATTTTGTTCTGGGCATCCCAAAGCTTTACTCAATCCCTATCCCAGTTCTACAATACAAATAAAACAAAAAAAAGACACTATCTGCCTGGTTACTGTCTGGGGACTGAGTGAGAGTTTGTGCACCTGGCAGAAAATACCATGCCTGGCTACTTGCTCCATAATGGGATCAGAACCTGGGATCAATATAGCAAGACCAATCCGGTCTGTGCACTACATCAAATATAAAAAATGTTTAAGTATCCATGTGTGTTGACTCCTTCCAATTCTCGGGTACATTAGTTAGGCCCCATCTGCAAACCCTTTAAAAAATGTTATAAAGCATGGTCCAATTTTCTCTGATGGAAAAAAAAGCCTTCCTGATCCCTAAAGCCATATACTAGCCATATTAACAACCTGCAGTGTTATTTCTATTGTCTGCTTTCTATCAGATGAACAATTAATATGCTATTTACCGTCTGAGGAAATCAGACGATCCTTTACAACACACGTGTGTGGGCAGGTGAAGTCTACATTCTCCACTGTAGGTGGCGCTCGTCTGGAATGGCAATGCAGCTGGAGGAGGAAGTCAGGAGAAACTGGGTTTCTCTATTATTCCCTTGGTCCCTTGGGGCAGTGTCCTGGTTGGCTACACTGCAGCCAGGTAGCCCTGGCAGCCATGTTGGGTCACACACAGTCTTTTCAAGTCCCTGCCCCCGAGTTTTGCAGTTGCACGTTGGCTTGTGAAGGGACAGCACATCCATCTGTCAGGGACAGCACTAGCTGCAGGGAGAAGTTCCAGAGTAGAAGGAAAATCTTAGGGCCTACGTCTATATCTGAGCAAGTTCTCTTTTGGGTTGGACCAGTCAGGCCACAGTCTGCTCTCCTTGACAGGTGCTGTGTCCAGCTCGGGACTATTTACAGCTGACTCTGCACTGTCTGATGTGAGTTTCCCAGTCGGGTGTGCTTCCCGCTGGGTGGATGTACTGGTTCGCAAGTTTTACAATACATCGTTGCTACAATTGGGGACTGTGTGTTCCCTACCGCTGCACCATGCTTCACCCACCTGACACATGCAGTATCTGTACATGGAAGTTGAGTCAGCAACGTGCAGAAAATGAAATGCCAGGAATTTTGGTCGGTAAAACAACCCAGAATCAATAGCAAGAACAAGAAAACAGGACGGAAGGATTCTCAGAAAGGTTCAAGGAACAAGCTGGGTCAATATTAGAGTTCAGGATGCAGGATCGTAGGTCATGGATATGTAGCACCCTCCTAGTTAGGTGCTAGGATTTGTACAGTTAGGATATAGTATAGCTGGGTTTTCTCTTCTTAACAGACTGTTAGGAAAATCTAATGGAGCTGTCTGCTTAACAGAGCTGTGATGGATTAGTAATGTCTTCTCATAATGCTCTGGTGCTGTTTGAGTTTGCCTTGAGCTCCTCCTGCCTCCTGAAAGCAACTAGAGCCTTCCAGAACCTAAGTGGGAACTAGCAAATGAGCAGCATGAATATGGATACAGAAAATACCTTGTGCCTGGCTGTGGGGCAAAGATAAGGATGACCTGGGCAAAAATCCAAGCAGCTCCTTCGGGGGCAGCGCTACAGATATACTTCTGAAGACCTTTCAGAACTGAGGCCTAGCATGTTTGGTGCCACCACAAGCTCACACCTAGGCAGAGGCAAAAGGCTGTCCATAATTCTATATGAGGAACCATTTATGAGCACTCATGCAGGCCAACAAGATCTTCCTGACAGGGCCTTAGGGTTTTCAGTTACAATTCTGTATATGGAAGTCAGTTAAATTTATAAGATGCATGGTAGCACAACAATTAGCAAGTGCTCTGACTTACTGCTCAGTCTTGGTATGACTCAGTTGACTGTTCTGGAAAAGTATCTGATCTTTTCTCTGTAAAAACTGAAGACCTGCTTTTCTGTTTTCCTGTTACTAAAGCTGCAGATTTACAGTAGGTAAGCAGAATGATCATGGTTGATCTCTTGACTTTTCCATGTAAAACCTCTGGCCTCATTGTTTATTGGGTATCTATACTGCACCTGTTATCTGAACTGTCCAAGGCTGCCACACAGGGAATTTGTTAATCATGCAGTCTTAGCTAGCATCCCTAACACAAAAATAAATAATAAAACTCATTACACCTTAAGGGCTTGTTCATATGTGAAGTTGGGTGGAAGGCTTAAACACGCAGTTGAGCCTCATTTTTGCCACCCCCCAAATGCTCCGCCTTTTACCGGCAGATGCAACTGTTGGGGAGAGGTACAAATGCCACATGCTGGCAGGAATTATACCACCTGCTGAACATAGCTTATTCAAGTGAATGGGGCTGCGTTGCAACTACCCCACAACCACTTGCACTGCACATGGTTGTGGCATGGTGGTGCGGCACTTAGGGGGTTAAAAACAGCCAGTGAGAAGGTGTGCTGGTGTCACACACTGTGTAACAATGTAACACAATGCATAGTTATGGTTAATGTTAATATACTGCCATCTTGTGGACATTTTGATGCTTGTATCTTCCTTTTCTGTCTTCCATCTTGAGCCCTCCCACCAGTGATGCATTTCCTCTTCCTTCTTCTGTCTTCTGGGGATGAATATGACCACTTGTCTCTAGGCCACATGTAATCTGCTCACATCCAGGAACAGATGACCATGTTTTGACCTGCAAATACCTTCTTTTTAATCATCTGCTGCATCTGTTGTCTGCAGTTAACATGCTGAATGCAATAAAGATGTCATGGATGAGAAAATAGGTGTTTGATGAATTCAGCTATATAATAAAGACTGTTCACGGTGATTGTTTCTGCTTATACCGGCCAGGCATAGAGATCTCAGCAAGGGTTATGTCACTAATACAGCATTTGCAGTCAGAATAGAAGGCAACATATTGCCTCCTTACTGCCTGTCAAGTGCCTCTGAAAAGTATTTGGGGCATGGATAGTTTTTCAGAGGAGCGTCAGTTCTTGTCAGTAGTGTGAATGAGCCCCAATACTTTATTTTGCTGGTTTGTAGGATCCAAAGACAGGCTTTACCACAGAGCAAGTTATGGTTCTTTGAAAAACAAGTTTAATTAACCACCTCCCACCCGCCATATAAGGCAATGACGGGCGCAAGGCGGTTCTCTCGTTCTGGGAGGACATCATATGACATCCTCTCATTCTAACGGCGCATGCGCGGCTCCGGGAGCGCTCAGCGATTGGTGGTGCACTGTGTCCCTCGGACACAGTGTATCGCTGATCAATGGAAAGAGCCGAAGATGTTGGCTCGGTCATGTGATCAGCTGTGTCCAATCACAGCTGACCACATGTAAATAGGGAAATGCCGGTTATCTGCATTTCTCTCCTAACGAGCTGTCATGCTGAGAGTTGGAGAGGAGAGCCAGTAATCGGCTTTACTCAGAGGGGACATGCACACTGATCATCAGGTCACTGATGATCAGTGTGCCCTGATGATCAGTGTTGCCCCCGTAGTGCCACCTGTCAGTGTCCATCAGTGCCAGCTGTCAGTGCTCATCAGTTCCTCGTGCCAGTGCCCATCATTGCCACATCAATGCCACATATCAGTGCCTACCAGTGCACATCAATGCCACATATCAGTGCCCATCTGAGCTGCCTTTCAGTGTTACCTATCAGTGCCAGTCAGTGCCACCTATCAATGCCAGTCAGTGCTACCTATCAGTGCTGCCAGTCAGTGCCGCCTATCAGTGCCTGTTAGTGCTGCCTATCAGTGCCGCCTATCATTGCCAGTCAGTGCCACCTATCAGTGCCAGTCAGTGCCGCCTATCAGTGCCACCTATCAGTGCCGCCTATCAGTGCCATATATGAGTGTTGCCTTTTAGTGCCCATCAGTGATGCCTGTTAATGCCCATCAGTGCCACCTACCAGTGCCTCCTCATCAGTGTCACCTATCAGTGTCCATCAGTGTAGCCTATCAGTGCCCATCATTGCAGCCTCATTAGCGCACATCAATGAAGAGAAAAATCACTTATTTACAACATTTTATAACAAAAACTAAGAAAAATCTTTTTTTTTTTCAAAATTATCAGTGGCTTTTGGTTTGTTTAGCAAAAAATAAAAAACCCAGAGGCGATTAAATACCACCAAAAGAAAGCTCTGTCTCACATAAATGATAAAAATTTCATATGGGTACATTGTTGCATGACCGTGCAATTGTCATTCAAAGTGCGATAGCGCTGAAAGCTGAAAACTGGCCTGGTCAGGAAGGGGGTAGAAGTGCCTGTAGGTGAGAGGTTAAATAGCAAATGTTCTTGTGTTAGAACTGCAAATAAGAAAACTAATAGAGAAAAGAAACATAATTATCCCACAGGTAGCTGGGCAATATTACTGATTACGTGTCCTATAATGGACATTTTCTTATCATAATGAAGTAGAGGAAAAACATTTGACAGATAACATAGATGGAACTATATCAAAAGGCCTGACTGGAAGATATCCTAATGAGTGTTCATTTTGCAATACTGGAAGTGCAGTATCTACTGTATAACAAGTACAAAAATATAAACTTTGCAAGATAATGTAAAAAAAATGCTTAGATCACAATTAAAGTGTTTGTAAAGGCTCTAGGTTTTTTTAAACCTTCATCATTCTATGCATGAAGGTAAGAAGCATTCTGTGTGCTGTTCCCCCCCCCAGCCTCTTCAATACTTACCTGAGCCTCAAGATCCATGCACGCGGGGCGTTTGATAACGCTGGTAATGTTAGCTGTGTAAAGTCATGTTAAAAACGTGAGTTTTTCAGCTTTTTTATGTCTTTGCATTAGTGTGTACCAGCTTTTTCCTGTGTTTTTCCATGTTTTTTTTTTTACCAAAAGAAAAAAATTTTTTTATGGTAAAAAAAAGTCCAAAAACGCCGGTTTGCAGCATTTACCGCGTTTCGCTGCATTTACAGCTAAAAAACTCCTCTAGAAAGCCAAAAAAATGTCCCTGCCAAAACACGCTGATTACAGTCTGTGTGCACAGACAGATAGCATAACATGCTGGGGAGTTTACTGGCTGTAGAAAAAAATGTCAAAAGCCAAAAACAGCCGTGCTTCCATATTAAAGAAAGGAAGAAGCTCTCTCCCAGCCAATAAAAGCTTCCCTTGATATACAGTTTACTGGAGGGGTTTCTGATTGGCTGACAAAACACTTTTAATCTTACATGAAAAGACTTCCCTTGTCATTACTGTAAATAACAATTAAGGTCACTATAGTGTTTACCAGGTACACAAGTCATCCTTTCACCATTTCCCATGAATGCCCCCTCCAGTCTAATAAATACTTCTTGTATGGTCAAATCACATTCTTTATCATCCTTAAACATAGAAACAATGTACCCTTTGAAATGTCTAATTAGATAAACAGGCTATTCCCCAAATACCAAGGTGACCTTCCATAAAATTAACATTGCAAAGAGTTCTTTTGATGTGTAAAGTAGTCTTTTCACTGGCCTGTCCAAGAATGATCAGAATGTGTTTCAATATCTTCAAGATCTATCTATATGTATATAAATGTATATTACACACAATATACTATAACCCCAATGTTTATTTATTTGGAATTGCTGCATTTCACTGGTCGGCCACTAGTCTCTCTCCCCCCCTCTCTCTCTCCCTCCCTCTCCCTTTCCCCTCTCCCTCCCTCTCTCTCTCCCTTTCGCCCCCCCTCTCTCCTTCTCCCTCTCTCTCTTTCTCCCCCAACCTCTATCTCTCCTTCTCCCTCTCTCTCCCGCCTCTCTCTCCTCCCCCCCTCTCTCCATTTCCCCCTCTCTCCACCCTCTCTCCCTTTCCCTCTCTCTCCCCCCTCTATCTCCCTTTCCCTCTCCCTCCCCCTCACCCCCCCCCTTTCCCTCTCCCCCCTCTCTCCCTCCTCTCTCTCCGCCCCCCTCTCTCTCCCTCTCCCCCTCTCTCTCCCTTTTCTCTCTCCCTCTGTCACCCCCCCCAACCTCCCCCCTCTTGCTCTCTCCCCCCCTCCCCCCCCTCTCTCTCTGCCCCCCCCTCTCTCTCCCCTCCTCTCTCTATCCCCGTTAGAAATTGCAGCTTGGCATTGTACGCTATTATTAAACGAAAATAAACTATCTCAATCAACAGTAACTATAATAATCCTTATGCTGCTAGCATTAGTAAATAGATAGGAAGTTAGATTTTTTTTTACTTGTTTTAAACTTTTTTTTTGTACATTTCAACTTCAGTTGCTTGCTGGATTCTGGCATAGACCATAGTAATGTTATACAGCTCAGGTGTCTTCATGGGCACATTTGTTTCTTTCAACTGCATAACGGGAGGAGGGGCTTTCACAGCCTCCTGCATGCATGCCTGGGCTAAGGGCAGATAGATTCTAGGAAGTAAATACTATATGAATCATCTGCCCTTACTAAAGATGGCCACAGCTAAAGCACTAAGCAGGGGTTCAAAGTAATTTCTCAATAAAAATAAAGCATGGAGACATGGGTGGATGAGTGAATTTTCTTTAAAAATTAAAAATGAAGTAAATGGCATTTTCAGTTTGTGGTTCTCAGATACAGTTTCATCAGTGATTGTACTCCTAGTATGTATGATGCATGGATGGTTTAGCCCAAAGTGCATAACTATACATTTATCAACATTAAACCTCATTTGCAACATAGTTGCCCAAAACAAAAGTGCACTGAGGTCGAAATATAAGATGGAGGCATCCTGTAGGGGTTTCTCCACTGATTTTGGTGTTATCTGCAAACACAAAAATGGTACTTTTATTTCCAAACTTTAAATCATTTATAAATAGGTGAAAAAGTATGGGTCCAAACCCAGAACCTTGGGGTACACCACTAATAACCTTAGACCATTCAGAGTATGAATCGTTAACCACTAGTCTCTAAAAATGGGCTTTCGTCCAGTTTTTTTTTTATCAATTTGCAGAATGGATTTTCTAACCCTGTAGACCATAACTTACACATTAACCATGTCTGGGGAACTGTGTGAAAAGCTCATGCAAAGTCCAAGTATACTACCTCCACAACCACTCCTTTATCTAAGTTTTTGCTTACATCCTCATAGAAATCACTTTGATAAGAAACCATATAGATGAGTTTATGCTAGAATACAAAATTCAAACTATCAAGTACCTTTCCAACTTTAGAAGATAAACCAACAAATCTGTAGGTAATTGGTAAAGACTTTGATCACTTTTTAGGCACCACATTGGCCTTCCCCCAATCCATTGGTGCTAAGCTAGTCATTGAAGAATTTCAAATCCCTTTTATATCAGTGCCATTACATTCTGATTTCTGTTCCCTTCATAAAAATGCTGATTAATTCTTTTAGTCGATAAAGAATTGCCTAAAGGAAAAAGTCTGGTTTTAATAAATGCATCAGGACAGGCCGGAAGATATACTTGTCTTATCTTGATTTCATTCATCATTTTTCTCTTCTTAAACCCTGTCTCTTGGCAAAATCTGAAACCCCTTTTCTCCATCCCTCCCATTTACCTTGCTTTCACCTTCTGCCATCTTGTGACCTTCTGCAGCACATCTGCTGAGATTTAGGACAGATGACACCACCACTGGAGTCTTTAGCACCCTATGAAGTTACTGCCAATGGACAGCCAATGCAAAGTATCCTTGTCATCAGTCAGCAACATAGAAACCTTAAAGTGGTTGTAAAGGCTCAAGGTTTTTTACCTTCATGCATTCTATGCATGTAGGTAAAAACCTTCTTAGGTTACCTTGTTAGCAGCCCTACCAGCCCCCCTAATACTTACTTGAGCCTCATCTCGATCCAGTGATATGAAAGAGATAAACGGCTCTTCCATTGGCTCCTGCCACTGTCAATCACAGCCAGTAAGCCAATGAGGAGGGAGTGGGGGCCAGGGCTTAGCCACTTCTGTGTGTGAATGGCTTGGCAATGCTCTTTTGGCTGTACTTCACCTTTGGATCACAGGAGTGCAGTTCATTCTGCACTCCTGTGAGCCGTTTTCAGCTGACAGCGGTGTCAGGGTCCTCTCAATGGCAGAAGTCCTGGAAGACCAGGCATTTCCGCCAGTACCCTACATGGCTGCAGAAATACACGCATCAGGCCCAGTTTTGGCGCCAAGCGGCCTTTATAAGGAGGCTCTTCACTCCCTCAAGTTGCTGGATGACCTCTAGCTCCCCTTACCTTGTTCCTGTTTCCTGTGTTATCCTGATACTGACTCGGCTTGCTCTTGGACCTGTCTACTCTGCTTAACCCCTGATATGACCTCAGCTTGGCTAACGGATACTCTCTCGCGTGCTCCTCGGTGTATGACCTCGCCTATCCCATCTGACTACGTCTGCTGTGATTCACCAACAAGCACTCCTACAGGCGACCTGTGCCACTTTGGGCCTGACTCCCGCTGTGCCACTCTTAGCTACAAGGGAAGCCCTCTCTCCATTGGCCTCCATCACCAGGTACCTGATGAGCGGGCTGAAGCCCGCTTTCGGCTGACGTCACTCAGCCAGTCCAGGCTGGGGAAAGATCCTGACTTCAAATTCAGGATCCACCCCAGAGTCTGCAGCGGGACCTGGCTCAGCTGCTCCCTCCCCCTCCACGGCCCAGTGCTCCAGTTAACGCTGTGGGGGGGATAGCAGACATTGGCGACTGACAGTCCCGCTTTCTGCTCATAGCAGCTGTGAGAGCTTGGCGATCAGCCATCATGTGATCACTGAATTGTCACACTTAGAGCTGGTGGGGGACCGATG